CATTTATCTCGCCGGGGAGATCGTCGTCAGCTAGACACCTTACACTATCGGAGGGAATTTCGGGGGCTGCTAAATCGATTGGGGTGAGTGAATGGAGGGCAAATGCTTTGTGTGGATGAGCGTAAGAATGATGAAGGATAAATCTTAGGATAAGGCCGATAGGAGTTAAGCAGAACTCAGGTTGGGCAGTCAAGCTAATGATTCTCGAGGGCAACTAAACTAGCAACGCTAATACGAATTAAGTGGGCAATTTTCTTAATGGGGAGGCCAGTGATATAGGAATAGGTGACTGGACGAATGATCACATTCAATTTATCAACGTAATTACCACCCATATGTTTGGCAGTGGTCATCGGGACTTCGAATGCCCTGTCCTTCACCTACCCAACTGTGCCGCAAACCCAGCTGATCGGACCCCTCTATCCCTAATCCGAGCAGTGAAGAAGCATCTCGTGCATCATGGTCTATACAATGAACAGAATCATCAAGCCTCTAAATTAAAAAGCATCTTCCATCAGATGTATTTGTATGCAAGGTGGATCTATACCTATACATCTATCTCAGGATCTCATCACTATCTGGATCTCTCTCTAGATCTATCTCGGGATCTCTTCAACGACTCTCAGGTTCCCCTGTATCACCAGCTCTACTACCGACAGCATTACAGCAGCGAATTATTCTCTCTGCTACAACAGCCGAACAACAGTGGACCGCAGTATTGGATGAACCGCAAAGAAGATACAGCAGCTTTTTATTCCTTCTTTCTCCCTTTCTTTAACCCATTTATGCCCAGGAATATTGACCATCATGAAAATCGATGAAATCAAGATATGTTACGCTTCTACCAGGGCCTTGCATGGAATCGAAAATAATTTTTGCCGGCAGCAAAAGTTTTTCGAGAAAAACGTAAAAAACATGCGTTGCGAAATCGCAACGAAGGGCACACTGGGCGCCATCAGCGTTGCGAAAACGCAACGACGGGCACATCAGACGGACATAAAGTACACTAAACCGCCGTATATGCTAGTTTGTTTTAACATATAATTCACCAACTGTTGACAAATATTGCTGGAGAATGCGGAACCCACATCCCTCATGCTTTATTACCCGCCTAAGAGCCTGAATGAGGGAGCATAACTTTAGGGTTCGCGAACGGGAAGATGGCAACAAACGGTCATTATCAACAACAATTGTCCATTTAAAGTACCTAGTGGTTGGCACGTACCCTGGGCAGTGCTTTCTTTTTGAAAGCTAGACAGAGCCATTAGCCCATTACCCTCTCATATGAGAACCCCAAACGGAAAACAATTTAACCGAGGATTGGGAGTAAACCTGTGCCTCGCCTAAGCGCCTATCCGCAATACCATTGTTAACCACCCTCCTAGGAGTAAAGTTAAATTCAAATGCAGGGTAGTCATGCCTACTCTTAGCAAAAAAAAAAAGAACCTATCCGGCTTTCACAAATTACCCGCGTAAGGCGTAGCGCGTCATAACAACTCGGCTTAAAGTGTCTCCCAGGACCCATTTTATCACTTTTACACCTAATACAAAATTGTCTTTGTCCCACTCTCAGCGACCTTCACTTGTTGTAACCTCTCTCTCGAGACAATGCCAGGGCAGACCAGTGATTCGACGCAGTTCACACTTTCCAAGTGTTCCGTTAATCCGTCCTTTCCATCTTCAGGATAGTAGAATCCTTCTCCTCCATGCCTCAACCCCTGTTTCGAGCTGGACGGGCAACTATATCGCATTCGAGCAGCTCCCATAGGAGCACAGGTCTGTAGCCGGATGCAGTAAGTGCTTGGGAAGGGGGGTGGGGCTGGTTCATGGGTGGCCTGGATGGATGGGCTCAGCCTCGACGATTCACCATGCCCGCTCAGACCAATGTTTTCCCTAATTCCAATAATGCTTCTAGCTCTAAAATGGTCTGATCAGACAGGCCTACCCTCAGTAAACAAACAAGCAATGCTTCACATCAACCACCTTATCAATCCGTGCAAACCATGAATTCTAAAAATAAGCTATTATTTTCCCAGACGCCCTCATCACCCCTGCCGAAGGGGTCTGTTCCCCCCCCCCCCCCGAGGGGGCATATCCCACATTTGCCGACTCTGGGAGTTATCTTTTCTAACGTAAGGTTCAGCGGATTGTATCCAGAGAATGACAATGCCTATCTGTCGTCTGATACCAGACTATGTACGTCCCCGTTATTTAGTACATAGTAGATCCAATTTTCAAAGTACCTCGCTATCTCTCAGCTCCGTTAGCATCGCCGACCGTTTGATGCAGGTCCTTTTCCTACCATGCGATTTTCAGATGCTCGAAAACCCATTGCAGTTAGTGAACAGCCCGATACTCTGCGAGAGAAAAAGAAATGAGTGTTTGATAGCTGTTTAAGTGAGTTAATGTGAAACGTGTCGCAACATTCACGTGCAAATGCACCTTGCACTTTACATACCTACACGTCCCTCACGACTACAAAACGAGAGAGAGAGAGAGAGAGAGAGAGAGAGAGAGAGAGAGAGAGAGAGAGAGAGAGAGGGGAGGGAGGGAGAGAGGGAGGGAAGGAGAGAGAGTTGGGGAAGCGTGGAAGAGAGGGAGGAAGATTGGGGAGAGAAGGAAAGAACCCACAGCGTACCACAAGTGAAGTCTATTTGATGTTCCTATACTTCCGCTGCACTGCCAATTTGCCCCTCGTTGCGTTTTCGCAACACCCCTGTCTTTCCGATGTGCCCAACGTTGCGTTACCGCAACACGACTGTAGTCATATTTGAAAATAGTCACAAACCCTATTTGCAGCATAATTTGTTAATAAAATGCATATTCTAGCTATTGTAGGGACTCGGCAGAATATGTTCACACATTATTCATTACGATAGAATTAATCACTTAATCTACTTATTTTGGTTTTCGTGACGTCATCACTGACGGGACCTTCGACTTCCCTCTGGGAGCTCTGGACGGTAAGTTACCGGCCGCACAGACTTGTAACTGCGTAGCATCATGCGCACAACCATGCTAAACGCGCTGAAACTTGTCTCATCGGTGAGACGCCATTACACACTTCTCAAGATTTGATCACGTCGACGCTTGCTTGTGTTGCGAAAACGCAACGAAGGGCGTAAATGGGTTAAATTCCCCTCGCTACAGCTTAAGGGCTAGCATACCTACCATGTACTGTATATACTGTATGTACTGTGCCAAATTTGTAGCGATTTGTCAATGGTTTTACCCGAATCGCTCAATCGAATAACAGCAGAGACACATGTTTTCTAAGCTGATGTCTTTGTCACAGAATAAACCATACCTGCAAGAGAATGTAGCAAACAATGAAATATAACTGTGTGGGAGGAAAGTACGAGCATGATATGAACCGCAACGACCGTAAGCACCTCGTCTGATGGCAGCTCATGTATCCATATATGCAGATGAGCACATACCGAGAAGCACAGCGCTGCTGATAGCGTTCGTGGTCGGGTCTGGACGGCGTCATATCTCCCGGTATCCGCTATTTTCCCCGGGGAACAGCCGTAATGAGGGCGTCATTCCCGGTCTACCGGGCCCGGGCCGCGCTGGCTGGTTGGTGGGAGGCACCGGCGCTGCACGGTGGGGTTCGAGGTAGATACGGTACACGACGAGACTGAATACTTTGCAGCTGCCCAATGCTTGTGTCAAGTCGAGTCAACGCTAGAATGAGCTCCTCAGTCGACACTACTGTCAACAGTCGGCAATCAAAACTGCAGGCAAAATTCCTCACGTTATACTCAGCAGGCGACACTACAGTGGATGCTACATTCCATAGTTGCTACAGACGCGACAACAGACTGTTGTTTGTCAAGAACTGTCACATACTACATCCAGTGTTATCCAATCACTAGATATATATTTCATTTTCACGCGGTCGCTTGAGTCAAGCGAATGTACAATTACGTAGAAATCGCATGTTGGCTTGCGAGGTTGGCTGGGTTGGCTGAGACCCCCACCCGGGCGCGGGTAAGTACAGGTCTCGCGAGATTAAGCGGTAGGTTTTGCACTTTTACATTTCCGGTTATATCTCAGAAACTAATCGATCTACGATGAAGCCATTTTACACGATCATGTCCGGCTTGTTACCCAACAAGTCGATCGCATCTTCAACACTTAAAAGCTTAAGACGACGAAGATATAGCCTGAAGTACACTAAATTTTCTAGGTGCAAAACCTACCGCTAAAACCCGCGAGACCTGTACATTCCAATGACTTGCGGTACAGTATACATTCAGGTGTAACCTGTAGTGACATCTAGCGGTAGCGGTGCAATATAGGTTTGGAGACGTGCGGTGCAGTATACTTTCAGGCGTAAGCAGTAGTGACATCTAGCGGCATTTAACTATGTAACTTCATTCACTTGTCATGCGGTACAGCATAACTTCAGGCGCGCACTGTAGTCGCATCTGGCGATACTGATAGCTATGTCAAAAACTTCCTACACGTGGCAAGCAGTACAGCATAACTTCAGGCGCACACTGTGGTGGCCAAGGTTCAATAGATCTTCGACGAAATCAACGCGGTGCCATTTCCAGGCCGGTATCAACTTCTCAAGGCATGCGGAGCGATTGTAAATTGCTAGTATCCTTTAGCTTCAGCGCTTATGAACCTTTAGCATCTGTGGCTAAAATATGACCATTGAAATTAAATTCCGCTGTTATGTCGGATACAAATGCTTATGAGCGGGTATTGATGAGAAGGAAAATTCCAATGATAGGAGGAAATGTCGATAATTGAAGGGTTTTGAGTGATGTTCACGAAACGGAGAAATGGTCTTAAGAAATGTCGATGATTGGGGATGCCGATGGTCAAAAGCTGTCGGTAACAGATAGAAAGGTCGATAGACGGGACTGAATGAAAAGTACTTTTCAGTGCGGGAGACGGTGATCATGTTTCTATGTACTGTATGTTTTGCGTTGGGTTACTTGCAAATGAGCTGCACAGTTATGATGCTCCTTTGAAAGAGTAGAGGTTTATACAGTCCCTGGTTCAGCTTTCTTTTCTGTGTCGCTGTGTGCCACGGCATCTGTTATTTGCATGCTTTCCTTGCGTAACCAAAACACCAGCCCCCTGCCTAGCATGAGCACAACCATTACGATGTTAGCGGCCCCCAGACTCGTCCCCAGACCCGGAAACTCCACCAGCCCTATGACCGCACTACCCACCATGGGGCCGGCCACTTTACCCACTGAGTAGACGGTACCGTAGACGGCAGCCACCAGCGCCCTGCCCCGCACGGTATCCGGCAGACCACGCGCTATGGACCGGCGCAGCAGCAGACCCAGTAGGATCGGGTAGGCAGCCGCCTGAAACAGCTCGCGGATCCCCATACCGAAACCGAGAAGGAGACGGGAGGGGGGCAGGCCGAATAGTGGGGATGGTGGCATCAGGAGCACCCCCAGAGCGGTCATCGACAGGAACCCGGAAACCAGCAGGAAGGTGTTCTCGACAGCGTCGGAGAGACGGCCCCACGCGGCGCCGGCCGCCGCGTACACCACGAACGAGCCCAGGAAGAAGAGGCCCAGCTCGGCGGGGGAGATGTCCAGCGTATCGTGGACATACACCTCGAGCTGGGGGTCGACAGAGAGCCAGTTGTGAGCCACCACCAGCAGTGCGGCACACGTCAGCCAGTTATCTGGTGTCAGCGCGATCAGCGCCAGCATCCGCAGGAAGCTTGACCTCCTCCAGCGTCTCCAGCAGCTGCTGTCCTCTTCGTCTTCATCCAGCTTCTGCTGCTGTCTCTGGTCATCATCCGATGGCAACTCCGTTGGCATCATCACCACACCAGCGACGAACAGCAGAAGCTGAAGACCTCCGAGGAAGTAGAAGGACAGACCGTAGCCTCCCAGCGCGTACAGCGCCCCTCCGAGGGCCGGGCCCAGGCACAGACCCGCGCCCGACATGGTCTCTATGAATCCCAGCACCGTGTTCAATCGCTCCGGGAACTGACTGGCGACGATGGTACGAGCAGCAGTCTGCACAGCAGCCGTGCCGACAGCTTCAGCAACACGTACAGCTACACTGGCCGATAGGAAGGCAGTGCTGTCGCCAACGAGTCCAACGAGACCAAACGCCACGCCTGTGACGCCGGCGATGGCCACTCCGGCGTGGAAGAGCCGCATCACGCCCAGGCGCGGCGCCAGCCAGCCGGTGACCGGGAACGAGAGCAGCTCCGAGAGCGAGAACGAGCTGAAGACGACGCTGCTCTGCGCGCTGGTGAGGCCTCGCAGACGAGCCTCGTGCGGGAAGAAGGGCACCTGGACGAGCGTGCAGCAACCGGCCAGCACGGTGGCCGCTCCAAGAAACACCAGCAGCCGGCGCTGGTGAGAGCTGATCTTCGACGGCGAGCCAGACGCATCCTTATCTGTCTCCCCTGGAGCTTCTTCAGTGGTGCGACAGTCCTCAGTGGTATCTGACTTTTCCTGCGGCTGCTGATCGGATAGCTCTCTCTTCCCGTCGTCTTCCTTCCTCCTCATGTTGCTCTCGTGTATCGCTGTTTGACCTACGACGGTCAGCTATCGATGCCGACTGACCGGCCCCCGCCGCGACGTTTGGTTCTCACTCAGTGCGCTGTCACACACCGCCGAATGCGGCGTCAGTAATTGGCAAGGCGTGACTTTGATCGAGGTCGGAAGGGGCCCCTCGGAGGCAGACCGGCGCTGTCAAAAACCGGAAATGTCCATTGGCTGTTGGTTCTTCGAATTTCGTTATTGCCCACCGTACACTTATTGGGCATGCGTGTCCGACATTGTTATTGTCATTGCCATTTGACTTTGTCATTAAAAGTCGCTGAATCCTCCTGGCAACACACAAGAACAATGTCGCGTGATTGCGCTTATTGATTCTGTTGTCAACTACAAGGACACCAAATTCCGGACGAAGTCTCATTAGCCAGCGTAGTTACTACAGCACGATCCGTATCATGAGCTGGAGCCATTGTTTTGGTTTTGTTAAGATCATAGTGCGGCAGTACCTACATACAAATTACAATGCATAGCACACAATGGACCGAGCTCAGGCCACATACGTCGTATAGCCAATAAACGACCCCTGAGGGATTCCTAACGGGCATATTTGTGAAATTACTCTGGAACCCATGCATATGACTCGAAAACAGATGCATCATCTCCTTACATTCTTTATTTGAAGCCTTTTGCATTGGTGAGTTAACTTTTCGTGATAACCTACATCATATACCTTTTAGAACTAGGCCCTAAGTTCAGGGCATTCCTAGACGGCTTTGATGACAATATATTAGTCGTTTTCACGACGGCTATCTTGGTTCGTATTTGGTGCAGATGTTGTGCATATTTTTTTTTTCTTCAAATTAGGTTCATTGCGTTTCTTAGAAGTTAGCAGTTTGGATTGCGCAGTTACCTATACCTATACCTTTTTTTAAATAACCGTACACCAGTAAAACGCCTTTTGGGCGAAGAACGAGCGAGCGAGATAGTGAGCCTGCACGTGCGGAAGGGCGAGAGGGTACTTCCAACGGGCTTGTGCAAAGCACCCTTCTAACCGGTCGCTAGCGGTGTGCCAAATTTGAACGCAATCGGCCCAGCCGTTCCTGAGATCTGGAAGCGGCATTCTGCACATGCGCACGTGCGAACAGGGTCCAAACTGACTTTTGCACGGCACCCTACTAACCGGTCTCCAACCGTGTACCAAATTTGAGCGCAATCGGCCCAGCCGTTCTCGAGATCTGGAAGCGCCCCCTGCACGTGCGCACGTGCAGTAGTACCTTAACCGCAACACATGGGAATGCATTGCCTGGTGGGTGCCTACCTGTATGCCAAGTTTCAGCGAAATCGCCCCAGAAATTACCGAGTTATTAAAATGGGAACAAATTTGACACCTCTGTTGTATTTTGCACGTGCACTGGGGGTGACCCACATGCATCGAAAGTATCCTATTTTTGGTAGAAAGGATGCAGCTACCCTATAAAAATTACCGCAAGTCAATCGCCCAAGCGGCTGCTGAGATATGGGCCTCTCAAAATCACTACTTTTGCAAAACAGCTTGAACACCCTTGACTTTTCACGTGGCACGTGCCACGACAGTCACTGAGATGTATCAACAAAAGTAGTCAATTACGGGGTAGAAGGGATGGGGCTACCCAGCAAAAAAGACCGCAGGCCGATCGGTCCAGCAGTTGCTGAGATATAAGCCTCTCAAAAGCGTTACAGGCCGGGCCGGGCCGGGCCGGGCCGCTCATACTGAGATTTTTCCGTTATATTGAAAAGACTCGCTTCGCTCGCTGCGCTCGCTCGCTCGTAATTATTTTCGAGGAAAAACACTGAAATAAATTCATGCTAATGACGATATTGTTGAAAAGAAGTTTTGAAGCAGCTTTGGTCAAATTTGGAGCAATTTATTGGCCAGATAACCCCTGGTGAAAGCGGCTATTACAAAGTAAGAACTGCAGCTCCACCGAGACAGTACACACAGCTAAGCCGCTGAGGCAAAGTTCTTCGAGTTGCATTCAATAGAATGTAAAATTTGGTCTCGTAAATCCCTTGGCAGAGTGGCAGCTTTAAAATGGTGTGTTGCTAATGCTTTATCTTGCGGAAGAGTTCCGTGATAAAGTTCAGCCAGCAATTTCCGAGTCTCCTGAAATAAAGATAGGAACTGAGCTACTTTGCCGACCGAGTTTGCGAGCCCTAGTGGAAACCTTCCGTCGGCATTGCTTCGGGCAATGCTCACTGCAAAGGCAAGTGTTGCGAGAGAGTAAGAGTTCACAAGCCACAGTTCACAAGAGTTCACAGTTCACAAGAGTGCTAAAAGGAGACTGAACCGCCTGAAACAGCGCACCGTGCACTGTTTCAGCCAGTTGATGAGTGAAGCATCACGTGGAAACCGTAAGTAAAAAAGCTGACTACTGCAAGATGTTCAAATATATACTAAGCACCACACATACCTTTGTTGTGAGGTGCAATATGGGGTGTTACAACCATTTTTTTTTTCATTTATTTGCCTTTGATTTAGAGCTGTGTTTGATCTACTACTCTGGCATCCTATCCGTCTTCATCGTGACGAAAGACAATAGCGAAATCGTTGTCATTATATGATTATCTGTGTTAGCCACTGTGCATTAAGTAGTTCGACAGCCGTTTGACAATGCAAAGAATAAGCCGCACGTACATACCTCTCTAGAGAACGCATATGTGAAAACACTTACAAAATCGTGTCTGTGCACTGTCTGTGCATACCTTTTGTTCTGAACGTGGCATAGAAACTCGTCAGCTCAGTACATTCAAACAACGCACTGGTGCAGTGCATTGTTTTTGCAGAATGATGGATATAATAGTGTTTCGTATCACAATGAACTTCGCATGCCATTATTGACTCGGTTATATAAGTTCATATTAGCCGGTCGGTCGCCCTCACCCCCCCCCCCCCCCGGAGGCAATAATCGCTCCTAATGCCTCTCCTGTGGCCGTGTGACCCCCAGCTCTCCCCACGCACTCCTCCCCTCTGCCGGAGAGGAGTGCAGCTCCGTCAATAACTGGCAGAGACCGGCGCCAGCCCAGCTAATCAGTCGGTGACGGCCCCAGTATCGGCCCATTGCGTCCAATCGAGAGCTGCCGCAGCCCGCGCGCCCCCATTTGGCTTGGCACCATGCCAGCGGCCCCTCTGGAGGAAAAAGGGGTCAGACAGGGAGGGGTGATGACTGGGGAGGGGGAGCATCCGGGATTGGCAGCAGTAGGTGCCAGCTGAGGGGGAGGGGGGGGGGCAGGGTCAAGGCCTGATGAGGGACGGGCAGGGCAGGGTCAATGTTGGTAGCATAAGAATAATGAGCGAACACATTTCAACGATCGCTAATTGCTGTTGGGATTGCCTAGCCCTCGCCCGCACATGGGGGGGTGCCACCCCCCCCCCCCCCAGGTAGTCTTTCTGCTCTGCACTCAACATTTTTAAAGCTAGAAGGCTGATTTTTCGTATAGCTGCTCTTCTATCCTTTCTTGATGTCCACTGAAAATTTCAAGTTTCTGTGACTTTTGGTTTTGGAGATATGACCTTGTTTTTCAGGTCATGTCATGACCCAAATGGCCAATTCTCAACATCTTGCGTTTGTCATGGGCCTTGTGAGCTTTTGACACCTTGATTTCGACCTTTTTTGCCAGTCTTACCTCCCACCTATCATGGAACATGTTGTTCGACGATGTACAGGTGTCAAGGTCAGGGTCAAGGTCAACCTAGGTCATCTAAGATAATTGCGTTTTAGGCAAGCTGAATTTACTTTTTGTGAAGTTTTTTGACTGCATTTTTGGTAAAAGCTTCTCAGATCATGATTTCATGTAATATGGACACAAAAACATTCGGTGCACACATCAGTATACACACAGACACACACAGACATACAAACACATATCATTGACCTTGACCTAACTTGACCTGAAATGACCTCAGCGGCAAAAATCTGGTCGGGTAGTGTGACAAAGAGGTTCTAGCTGGCTTGGCACCAGAAAACAGCATCGTCATCGGTATATTATAAGCAGCGCACTTGATATCCAACGGTGACCCAAAACAGCAACATTTTTTAGTTTGACCTGACCTGGAAGATCAATGACTGACCTGAGAAGGTAAAACTGGGTATCATTGGATTCGTCTCTTCCCAAAGAATCGTTTTGGTCTTTACCGCTAAGCTCTATCTCCAACAGGGACGAAATGGCGCGGGGGGTTGGCAACCACCCCCCCATGTGCGTTCTAGGATGGGAAAATGGCATGTGCGGGCGAGGGCTAGATGTTATATATTCAACATTAGCAAAGCAACTGTAGATTTTTGTGCATATATCTATATTGCGACCGTAAAGCGCATGAGGTAGGTACCCATTGTAGTCGCCTAAATATACGGGGCCACCGTCTACATATACGCTATCTGCGAAATAATTTTGATAACGTTTCGTTCCACCGCGTCTACGCCATCTGTAAAAAAATATTTGGTTGTCACATGAACCCCTTGGCCTGACGAGGGCTACACTGCCATAAAAACTAGACCTCAGTACCAAATTAGCTCATAATCCACGAATATTTTCTACACTACGGGTGACTTACATCACCTTGACAGACAAGCTGGGGGTGGGGTCACATTACGGATTTAAAGAGACGACTTGTGTGAGTTGTGCGTACTGCGTAGTTGTGTCCTTCTCGATAGTTCATGTCACCCACCAATGAGGCCCTCCTGCGTCCCCGCCCTGACCTGATAAGCTCGATCATAGCTAGAAGGACCTATCAAAATTAGTAGCTCAAAATGAATGAAGCGCATTTATACAATGATCCATAAACTGCTCGAGGGTGACTAACGTTTCTTTTCATCCTTTTACTTCCGGCCCTCGTAAGTACTGACCGAATAATGCACTCTACCACATAGGAAACACTCTCTAGTACTATAATATACATATAGTACAGCAGCCACGTGTAAGGCAAGCCGTGAGACAGCAGAAGTGTCCCAGTTTTCCCAAGCAGGTCGTACTGG